GAGCGGCCTGGAATGATTTGGCTCGACAGAAGTTTGAACATTTGCAATCATCAATGCCATGCTACAGCGTGAGGGACCCCCTGATTATTGAATCATATGTGACAAAGTATATCAGAGAGGTGTGGAATTTCACAAAGGGAGCTATCTTAGTGGCCCTTAATCCGCACGGCCGGCTATCCTCTCCCAACGCTCTCCACATGTACTGGATTTGGGGCAACCTGGCCTTTCCCTTCACTCATGAGAAAGAAGAATCCTTATGGAAGTCAGAAATCTGGAGCCTTGAGCTGCTTGTTGATGGCATTGATCTTACAGTTCTAGAATGGGTAAGTCTTCATGCACTTTTACCTGATGGCTTGAATTCAAAGAACAACCTTTTTACTGACGTATAGATATTAATATGATTGAATTGTGCACCAGATGACAGAGGGCAAATACATATGCCTGTATGGAGGTGAAGATCTTGAATGGATTCAAACATTCACAAGCACTGCAATGAGCGTGGCGAGAGCTAACAACCTCTCATTGGAGATGGTTTATGTGGGGAAGAACAACGCCAAAGAGAAGATGCAGAGAATGATCAAAACGTTCACCACCAAAAAGTTCAGCTACTTCTGGCCGAACGTCACGGCCATATGGTTCTTCTGGAAGAGACTAGAGAGCATGTTATACTCAAAACTGCAGCAGCGAAAAACAGTAGAGGACGACCAGATTATGAGTGAAGTGATGTCGGTGCTGAGCTTTGACGGCAGCGATCAAGGGTGGGCCATATTCTGCAGAGGAGCACATGAAATGGCGAGAGCCAAGGGAGACACTGCACTAACATGCCTGAGAGAGATCGAGAATTGGAAGGAGAGTGCAATAAGAGACGGATTCATTGCGGCCATGAATGAATATCTGAAGCAGCTTTCAAAAGCCACATCACTGTAATCGCCACATACTTCCGGGGAGCAGTGGGGGAATTCCAGAGGTGGTGGTGTGTGCTGACTGCGGGCGTCCAATGGAGAGAGACTTCATGGATCGCTGTTGTGTGGAGTGAGAGGTAGAGAACAGTAAATAGCCTTCATAGAAAGGCGTTACATATATGTGTGCATGTTGCTTGGCGAAATAATGTGTTTGGCTTGAGAGCTAGTGGTAGCAGTATTCTTGTTGAAGCCAAGCGGACAGTGTTCTTGCATCAGAAGGGGAATAAAACAATATGACGTCATCTTATTTTTGTCTTTTGTTAAATCTTTTTCTTGTGCGCTGGACCAAAAAGGCGGAAATCAGGTGGTTGGCATGTCTGTGTGTGCGTGTGTGTGTAAACAGAAAATTGTAGAAGGTATGCTTAATTCGTATAATTTGCTTGCGAGTGGACCGGCTGGCGTCTTATAACGTAGAGAATTAAAGTTCGAAACTCTACTAGAAAAGTGTTCAAATTTAATGTCTAAAAGAGGATTATTTCTTGTAAGAGAATATCTGTATCTAACAAAGAGAAAAGAAAAGAAAACATCAATAACTTCTGTATATAAAAATTTATCAAATCATTTTTACCAATAAATTTTCTGTGGGTGATTTTTTCCTCAGGGAAAAACTTTTTTTATTTTCACTCATCTTTTATCCTTTTTCCTCTCCTTTCTAACTTCGATTAACATAAAAAAAAAAACTTTTAAAAAGTACCTTGAAGTAAATTGAGATAAAACTTATCTCACATACTTATTTTATATACATTCAAATTATTTTTGAAATAATAATTTAATTTCTACTCAAACAATCAAAACAACCAGTGACTTTTGTTTTGAGACTTATAGGCCATCAGGCCCATGGTTTTTGACCAGAAAATTTATTAACTTAGCAGTGAGAGAATGTACAAGGTAATAACTAAGAAGGTTCGTGGGAGAAGTTGAATGAGGTTGGGTCTAGCCTTCTGTATGAATATAAAATGAGATCATTGAACCTTGGAAGCACATTAGACTTTTTGTTGCTTTTGTTGACTTGTATGTGACCCAATTCAAGGAAGAAATGAACTTTGCAAGTAATTATCTGTGTTTTTCATTTTGCATCTTTTTTCCTTTAAAAAAAACATATGAATATGGATGCCTTTTTCCTTCTTTTTCTTTATTATATAAAGTGGAAATACCACCAAGTGAAAAGCAAAACTATAAAGTGATCAATTATATAGCACTATATTAATTGCAATGTAATAATCAATATATTGTGGTTGATAGAGCAATTCTTAGATACAGCCAGTATACACCACCAACTAAACTCTTCAATAAAAATGCAACAGCTCCGCTAGTTTCAATCATACGTGTCAATCATTTAATTTACATTATTTTTTTAAATAAAAAAAAGTGTGTAGTGATATATAGCCCAACATCTCATCACACTGTCCATCTTCCTCCATCCTTCGGCCATATCCAGAGCCTCTCTTCATGACTTCAAGGTTAACTTAGGCTCACGCTTCAGACTTCCGCGACCCACTTGGCTAAAATTTAGTTTGGTCGTATAAACTTAGAGTCTTCCAAAATCATTTTAAACTTGAGACTAGTATCATCAACATTAGTTTGGTATATTTTAATTCATGCAAAGGTCAGTTAGATAGCAACAATGACTCGTTGACTTGAAGAGTTGAGTGAGGAGAGGAGCGTTGTGTTGACCTAACAACTTTAATTCTCAAAACAATTAAATTCATTGATTATTCCACCCTCATCGCTTTTTTGACCCCACGTCTACTCTGGCCGTTCCATTTACGCCCTACTGATGCGCTCAAATAAAATACTCATAATTATAAAATCTTGTTTGTAGGTATACGAAATCTTTCCCAAAAAACCAATTTTTCCTAGCGACAATGGTATAGCGTGGTCAGGACATTCATATTGTTTTTGTGAATTGAATTTAACTTTTTACTGATTTGATTTTACACATGAGGCTTTTATTTTTATTATTTATTATTTTGCTCTAAATTAATTTATATAAGTTATAAGTTAATATACTATCTCCGGTCCTTAATATAAGATCCTGTTTGACTTTTATTTTGGTTCTAAATATAAAACCCCAATCCACTTTGTCTCTCATACTTATACATTTTTTTTCCAAAATAGCCCTGCTAACAATAATAGTTTTAGTTAATACACTTGATTAGCAAGGATATTTTAGGAAAGACAACACCTATTTAGGACAAATAACTAACTCAACTTACTTCTTTAATCTCCTCAAATTAGTCAACTGGCTTTTATAATTAGGACCAGAGGTAGTATAATGTAGCGTTATATATGTAAAAAATTTTTAAAGAGATCATATCATATTTACTAGAATTTATTTAACTCTCTTAATTTTTTCAAATCAGTTAAATTAGTTATTATATTACCAACCAAAGAGAATATTATTTACTCCTATTAATTAGAGAGCTCCATATGTCCCCTTTTTTTTTTCCAAGTTCATTGAGATTCTCCTTTTGGACGTTTTTGTTTGGTATGTATGTGTTACAAAAGAGCTTAACTTGGCTATGCATTGTTGTATTGGATTTAACCACGCTTTACTTTTAAAAAAAAATTACAATTATCAAGAGGATTATTAATGATGACTCCTACTTGATAACCTTATCCTAAACATGTTTTCTCCCAGTAACTTTATCAAAAGAAAAAACAATCAACTATAACCCTATGTTTAGTGCAAGGGGAATGGAAGGAAATAAATTTTTTTACTAATTTTCGTTTTAAAAATAAAAAAAGGCCATTTCTCTCGTATCAAGCGGACCTTTAAAGCGTTGTAGACAGCACTTCAGGGGCCTATTTTTGTGTTTTGCTGCAATTTACATTTTATTGGGCACACAAATATCTAATCAAAATTACACATTATTCCCTTGGTCACCGTTTTTTCCCCATATATGAACTACTGCCACTGTCTATTATTTAAAGCAAGCTAGCTTTCATTTAATTTTGTTTCATTAATACTGTTGTACAGTATTAGTCAATTTTTTTCCAATATTGTAGCTATTATTATTTATTACCTCAAAACTTATCATAAGAAATGCGCCATGCATCCTCAACTCAGAAACACGATGGCCTTTTAATTGATTGAAAAAGTTATCGCTTCATTTTCTAGAAGAAAATAAGATAAAGAAACTTCATGTTTTAAAGGAAGGCGAAAAGTTCCAACATTATTGTAAATGAAAATACAATAATAGATTATTGTTTTTTATTTAAAAATTATTTTTTACCAAAAAAGTATTACACGCGCTTTTAGTTGAAGATAATAAAATCAAGACCTTCCCCCCGGGGGGGACCTTCAAGGCAACCTACACACACCTTCAATGCAACACTGAGAGGAAGAGAAATGCCAACTTCATGATAAGGAAAGGGGGAAAAAAAACTACAGAGGCTGAATTGAAAGGGGAAAAAGATCTAAAGAGACAGAAGTATTAACTGATCAAACTACAACTTCTGCAGAGAACTTAAATTCGGAATGATGGATTCAGATCCCTCCGCTATTGGTGGGCTTCCGAATCATTAGGAATGCATAGTTAATGTTGGTTATCATAAAACCGGGTTGAATAAGAAGGTCCAACCGTAAACCGGTTAACATGGCAACTGATGACAGAAAAGGGCCTCTAGTCTTTGCCAATCACCAGAAAAGCCGTTGAAGAAATAAACAATCATGAGTGGCTTCATAGTGGAAGACACAGATATCTGATACAGTAGAAGATAGTCGTGAGTATTAGCGACGAGTGCATAATTATACGAGACCAAGAGCGACGGGAAAAGAAATGCCAAGAAAAGCCTTCTTGGAAGAGCAAAGAATGAGAGGGAAGAAGAAGCAAAAAGTTGGCGCGAGTATGGCTCAGTCATCGAAGAATTGACTAATACCAACATTTTGGGCCAGATTATCACATCCATTTTTGTAATTACAGAGTAATAACTCTTTTGGGATCTCAACCTCTATATTTCCATCATGAGGAAGTCTAATTTTGCCATCACCAACTTGTAACAATCAATTCGAGAATTTTTCTAATGATATGTTCCCATTATAATCACACGTGCATTTGCCGAGCAACCGCTACAAGGCACGAGAGGAATGAGGACCTATACTCTTCTGAGCAGAAAATCGAATTGTTCTTGTCATGAATTTCACGGAAAAAAAGAACATTTGAATTCCAAAACTATATTAGTAGCCTCGTAGTTGAGCATCAGGGCTAGTGAGAGGCACATAAAGAACAGAAGTTTCGGTTCGGATGGTGAGAGAACCATCGGAGTTCTTATCGACGACCTGTAAATCCTGAAACATGTTCCCGACTGGAATCACCATTCTCCCTCCTTCCTTCAACTGCTCCATCAGTGCTTCTGGAATCTCTTCTGCCGCTGCTCCCACGTGAATTGCATCATACGGACCACACTCCGCCCACCCTTGCCTTCCATCTGCGCACACAAACACACTTTCTCATATTATCCCTCTTATGCACGTCCCATAATATTGCTCTGACCCTACATTTGTCTCCCCTGGTGCTTCAAAACCAGTTAGAATCATTCAAAGTCTTGTCTTACATTGATATATTTCAGATTCATAGCAGTTCCAGAGTCATACCCCCACAATGCACCGATAGGGAACTGTCTTTCAATAGAGGAGCCGCTGCACTCTTCTGAATATTCTCTATTGAATAGGAAACCAATTCAGGAATATGCTCCACTCCCACCGCACGGCCTTCGGGTCTGACCATCAAGCCAAAGCATGCCGTCAGATACCCTGATCCTGCAAACAAGCCCACAGTTAGGAAATTGTAAATCCTGATTGTAGATAACAAGGCAAAAAGGGCAAACACTAAAATTGCTATCCAGTGCATCATCTGGGAGCCTTAAGAACCGTGAATTTGCGCCATCCAAATCCCTAAGAACAACATCTTTAATTTAATTGCCTTTTCCGTCAAGTATCACAACCCACATTCCAGAATTATCCATCAGGACATTATATTTTGAACTGAAAAAGAAAATGCAATGAAGATACATGTTGTTTAACATATTGGATACCAGAGCCAACGTCCAGAGCACGCATTCCAGGCTGCAAGTTCTGCTCCAGCAACTGAAGGCAGTAGGCGTGCATATGAGGAGCAGATATAGTGGCGTTGTGCCCTATCGGCATCGGACTGTCAGCATAAGGTTGCATTCCCTCGGGAACAAAGAAGGCTCTGTCGATGGCCTCCATTACTTGGGCCACTTTATTTGATGTTATTACTCCATAACGCCGCAGATTCTCCACCATTGCCCTGTTCCTATCACTGCCACTCCCAGACCAGAGTTGCTGTAATGTTCGGGAAAAAGATATAGATTGAACGCTAATTTAATTTATAAACAGTGAAAAAAGAGGGCGCTTACAAAAATTAAAAGGGGAAATAAGCAATATTTGATTCCCCCTTTTGTAGGTTCTTTCCACCCTTATAAGAGAACACTGAGAAGAAGAGAAATGTCAACTTCATGATAAGGAGGGGGGGGGGGGACTAGAGAGGCTGAATTTAAAGGGGAAAAATCTAAAGAGACAGAAGCATTAATTGATCTAACTACAACTTCTGCAGGGGACTTAAATTTGGAATGATGGATTTAGATCCCTCCGCTGGATTGGTGGGCTGCCGAGTTATTAGGAATGCATAGTTAATGTTGGTTATCATAAAACCGGGTTGAATAAGAAGGCCCAAACGTCAACTAGTTTACATAGCAACTGATGATAGAAAAGGGCCTCAAGTCTATGCTAAACACCGGAAAAGCCGTTGAAGAAATAACCAATCATGATTGGCTTCACAGAGGAAGACACAGATATATCACAGAGCAGAAGATAGTCATGAGTACCAGCGAAGAGTGCATAATTATACGAGACCAAGAGCGACGGGAAAAAAGAAATGCCAAGAAAAGCCTTCTTGGAAGAACAAAGAATGAAATGGAAGAAGAAGGAAAAGGGGAGAACGGAATACCTGCATGGCAGAGAAGAGAGAGAACTTAGGGTTAGGGAAAAGGGGACAGAAGGAGGAGAGGGTGGTGATAACGGGGAAGAAAGGGTGAGGCTGAAAGAAAAGGTGGCGGTGCCGGAATCGGAGTTGAAGGGGTAAGACAGGGCGGGCATAGGCATAACAGTAGCGGCAACCGTACGCTGACACGGGGGCGGTTCCCATTTCTGCTTCTATCCTCGCTTCTTCACATGCTCCCTCCTCCACCTCATATACTCCTCACACGTGTCCTCTCTTCTTTCCTTCCCCCGCCAGGCACCGTCCGTACATTCCTCTGTGTACTCATTCCCACGTTCATCGTTACTCCTTTTATTCATGGGTATTCAGGGTCTTAATATTTAGCTTCATCTCAATTGTTTCAATTTTATTTATTTTTATGTTTAATTTTTATCCACAATAAAAATTTATCTTCCAGGTTATTTATATTTATAAAATATGGCCCTTCATTAATTTGTATATGTGACTGGTAAAATTATACGTACTTAACGTACAAACTAATTAAAAAGTTAATATTAGTTATATATGTAAGATTTATTTTATATGTTTGTTATTTTTTTAAATTTAATCCTATGAATATTTTCTTAATAATAATCAAGTAGGAGAAAGATATAAGAAATTAAAGAAAATATGATGTTTTAAAAAAATCATATCAACTAATTTAGCTAATATTATCAATATATTCAAATTAGTTAATTAAGTTTTATATTAAATACGGAGTAATGCTCTCTGGCAACACCGGGAGGATTTCTTTTAATGATGATGTTTCATAACATTATTTACTACTCCCTCCGTTCCTTATTATAAGAGACATTTGATGTTTATGCATGTTTTCATATATAAGAGACACTTAAAATTTGTCTCTATTTTTTGTATTGATTTCCTATTTTATCCCTATTTATTTTGTCTCCAGCTCATACTCTCTCTCCCTCTCACTTTTCTTTCTTTTAATAATTTAATTGTTCTCTCACATACTTTCTCTCCTTATTAATGGGGGCATTATTGGAAAAAATATTATACTTTTTATATATTAATTGTCCTCAACTAATTTTAACTATTTTTTTTATCAACGTAATTTGGTTATTTGTTTTCTATAATAAGAAAGCGAGGGAGTATTATGCAGAGAACATAAAATATTAATAGTTATATGCCGTTCAAATATTCTTGTCTCTGTATATTTCAAATTTCAAATTAAATAAAAAAGTAATAACTTTTCCCAAGCTAACTTAAAGTGATCACTTCGTGGATGACTAAAACTACAGTGTCAGGCAAAAAAAAAAAAAAAGGTGGAAAGAGAACTACAGCAACATTATCTGAATTCAGTTAAAGAAGTTTGTGTATTATTTGTCTTCAAATTACTTGCTTTGGTAAACATGAAAGTAACTGGGGGCAAAAAGAAAAGGAAAAATAATTAAGGTTGCCATATAGGAAAGAAGGACTATTGCCCCGCACTATGATTTTACCCCTTTTCTTCCCGTTTCTTCTTTTCCCCCACTTCCCATAAGTGATAATAAAATTGTAAATCAAACAATGAACTTTTTCTTTATTTAGTTTTTTCTTTTCTTTATGTTTCTCTTCTTTTTCAGTATTATACGCCCAAGCTCCAGGTGTCCGCCGCATATTACTGTAGGGGCATGGATCACGTCACTTGATTAAAAACTGTTCACCTTTTGTCTCTATTTGCCAATAAAGTAGAACTCTAATCCTGTAAGGGTCGGGTCCGACTGGTCGCAAACAGGAACGCAAGGCGCCTTCCCTACCATGTCATGGGCTCGATACCTGTGAGTGCACTTGGGATTAGTCTGACCGGAAGGCTGGAATACCCTGAGTTAGCAATACCATCCTACTCAAAAAAAGTAGAACTCTAATCCATATTATGTGGACCCACAATCCCTGATCTTTTCAAATAATTAATGTCTATTTGCAGGAGAGATGGAGGGGATCCATAAATTTACTCGGACGGAAGCATATGTATTTATGCTTGCTTCACTGATGAAGCACGATAACAGATTCAAAAATAGCACCTATAAACATGCACTGTAACTGCATAATCTTATCCAGATCAAGAGGCCACTTTTGCTTTTGTTTTATACCCAGTTGCAAGCAAGGTACATGTTCAATAAGACTTTATTCCCCGTTCTCTCATTATATAAGTCTTGCTCCTTAGGAGGCTACCTCACACGCATGTACACATAAAAACCGAACACTACTTCTTATATTCTGTGTTCTGATAACATCAAGTGTTGAGGACGATATGGCAAGCAACCATCCTCACCAGGTGGCAACCATTCCCCCCGGTAAGATGCAACAAAGAAGACAACGTAGGATGTTTTCGACCTCGGACGACACTGCCATGATGAAGCAAGTTCAGGCCACTCATGCCCCAGATGGTCGTGAAGTTGATGTCAAGCCTGTTCTCCGAATCATAGAGGAAATCTTGATTAATGTCATTGCTCGTACCGTTGACGGTGATGTTGATGTATTCTTTTCCATTTTATGTTTTTGTGTCCATTGTTATCGTTCATGTGTTATAATCAAATAATAACCTAAGCATCTAGCTGTGTGGTTTATTTTGTTCGTAGGGGAAAAGAGAACATGCTGATTCTATGGAGAAGGCTGCTATTTTTGCTGAGTTGGACATGCTTGATACCTTATCCTTTGTCATATACAAAATTTCCTGTGAGGTTGTTTTCTTATGCCAAAATCTACAAAACTTTAACCAAGGTTCTATTTATTTATCACTGTCGTTAAGGATGAATGGATTTTCTAAAAAGACTGACAATTCCCCCTCCCCTTTTTCTCTTTTTGCGTTTCCTGAGGGCAAATAATTATACTTATCTTGACGACTACGGTAATTTCTTTAGGTGTGTATATATATACACATCCTTACACAAGCATTAATAGTTCTATAACTCGCCGTTCAGTGTGATAATAACGTTAATTTTCTACCTCTAAACTAATACAGAAGGGTGAAAAGTTGTTATTGTGAAAACACATTATATGACTATATATGTATATTGGCAGTTATCTTACCGGTGCCAAGGAGGTGGAGATGCACATACGACAACCATGGGGATCCTGAACATGCTCTCTAGCTATTCATGGCATGCAAAAGTGGTGCTAATTTTATCAGCCTTCGCTGTTAACTTTGGAGAATTTTGGCTCGTTGCTCAGTTGGGTGCTACAAATACACTTGCTAAATCTGTGGCACTGCTCAAGCAACTACCTGATCTCGTAGAGAACTATGCCAATCTGAAACAGCAATTTGATACATTGATCAAGCTAGTGAAGGCGATTCTGGATGTGACCAGATGCATCATTGAGTTCAAAGAGCTACCCTCTGAGTACATTTCAGAGGACACCCCTCCAATATCCGTTGCCAGTGCTCATATTCCTGTTGCAGCCTATTGGACCATCCGAAGTATTGTGGCTTGTTCTTCGCAGATTGCAAGTCTTGTAGGATCGAGGAACGAGTAAGTTTGGGAGCTTTTATGGTCCATTCCCTTACCTTAATCATGAAATGACTAATAAGCTCCGTTTTTTCCCTTTTTTTATGGTTATAATGATTGTAGGTATGGCTCAACCTCCTCGGAGGAATGGGAACTGTCAAGCTTGGCGCATAAGATGAGCAGTATATATGAGCATCTTCGGAATCAACTGGCCATTTGCTACCAATATATAGGTGAGAACATCAGAATTAGCATTTTAGTGCAAGAATCTTTAATCTAAATTAACGTAATATAATTTATAAGAATATCTATGGAAGTGCAGATGAGAAGAGGCACATCGAGGCCTTTCAAAATTTGGTTCGTCTTTTTGAGACAGCCCACGTAGACAACATGAAAATTATCAGGGCATTGATATACGCCAAGGATGACCCACCCCCTCTTATAGATGGACCTACCAAAACAAGGGTTGGCTCTAAATTCTTATACTTTTACTATTCTACATATGCATCTTAAACGCCTATTATTGTTCTAAAACATTTCATTGGTTGAATTTCAGGTTAGTCTCGAGGTGCTGAGAAGGAAGCATGTGTTGCTGCTGATATCAGATCTTGATCTCTCACAAGAAGAGATCATAATACTTGATAACTTGTATAAAGATGCAAGAGCAAGGGTTGAGACACAGTACGAAATGGTGTGGATTCCAGTAGTGGACAGAGCGACCTGGAATGATTTGGCTCGACAGAAGTTTGAACATTTGCAAGCATTAATGCCATGGTACAGTGTGAGGGACCCCCTGATTATTGAATCATATGTGATAAGGTATATCAGAGAGGTATGGAATTTCATAAAGAGGGCTATCTTAGTGGCCCTTGATCCGAACGGCAGGCTATGCTCTCCCAATGCCCTCCACATGTACTGGATTTGGGGCAACCTGGCCTTTCCCTTCACTCGTGAGAAAGAAGAATCCTTGTGGAAGTCAGAAGTCTGGAGCCTTGAGCTGCTTGTTGATGGCATTGATCCTACAGTTCTAGAATGGGTAAGTCTCCATACACCTTCACCTGATGGCTTGAATTCGAAGAACAACCTTTTTACTGACGTATAGATATTAATGTGATTGAATTGTGTACCAGATCGCAGAGAGCAAATACATATGCCTGTATGGAGGTGAAGATCTTGAATGGATTCAAACATTCACAAGCACTACAATGAGTGTGGCGAGAGCTAACAACCTGTCATTGGAGATGGTTTATGTAGGAAAGAACAACGCCAAAGAGAGGATGTTGAGAATGATCAACACGTTTGCCACCAGAAAGTTCAGCTACTTCTGGCCGAACGTCACGTCCATATGGTTCTTCTGGACGAGATTGGAGAGCATGTTATACTCAAAACTACAGCACGGGAAAAAAGTGGAGGACGACCAGATTATGAGTGAAGTGATGTCGGTGCTGAGCTTCGACGGCAGCGATCAGGGGTGGACCATATTCTGCAGAGGAGCACATGAAATGGCGAAAGCTAAGGGAGAGACGGCACTAAAATGCCTGAAAGAGTTCGAGAATTGGAAGGAGAGTGCAACAAGAGATGGATTCATTCCGGCCATGAATGAATATCTGAAGCAGCTTCAGTCGCCACATCACTGTAATCGCCTCATACTTCCAGGCACCGCTGGGGGAATTCCAGAGCAGGTGGTGTGTGCTGAGTGTGGGCGTCCAATGGAGAGGTACTTCATGTATCGCTGTTGTGTGGAGTGAGAGGCAGAGAACATTATATAGAGGCGTT